GACAAAAATAGATTACATAGGAAGTAGGGAGATATTTAAATATTTATTCCATTGTTTTAAAAACATTTTAATATATGCTAATTTGTTTCATTTATATTAACAATTTATCTTCATTTGTGGAAAAGAAATTTTCATTAGCTTTTTTGTAAGACTCTTTGGTTTATGTCTTGTACCAGTTACTACTTTGATAATAACAATACATCATATAATTCTCTTATTTGATTATGCAATTATTATTGTATAATAATTTTATTTCTCTTATTATTTGGTTATGAAAAGTTTTGGGGTTTTTTCAAAATATACAGAAAAGAAACTTTCATAAACTCACAAGTGGGGCTTTTGGGAGGTGACTGGGTCTTGGGAGCACTGTGCTGATCAGTGACTTCAATACAGGGAGGTCATTGTGGGGGTGCCCTGGAAGGGCATAGCAGCTTTTCTGGTGCCTCCCTTCACTACCGCTTCCTGGTCACCATGAAAGAGTTGTGTCAGCTGTTGTGTGCCAGCTGTGAAAAAAAGTGACTAAGATGGCAAAGTCTATTATATCCCTCTTTTAAATTTGTGCAGGAGAGTTGCTAAACTTTTAAACATTGAATCTTCTGGAACCTCCCCTTCCTTCTAGTTTCTTGTTGTTCCAAACCTGCATACTCAAGAGTCCAAAAGTTCTGTGAAAAGTTGTCAGTAGAGTCATATTACAGATTGGGGTCTTCTCAGAAACATCAACTCCTATACATTAAAAATAATTTAATCTGTTACCTTTCTTGGACATGGATAATTACAGCCAAGAATTACTTTTTCCACAAAGGATGTTTGTTTCCCCTACACTGTATATTTAAAATCTTATTCATTCATAGGTGCTTATAGACAACAGGGTCCTTCAAAACCATTTGGTCCTTTGTTTTCAGTTCCCAAGGGAGAAAAGTGAAGTCCAGAAAGTCTGCATCTCTCAGCTCACATTCTTTTCTGTTCATTGTGTTGTCAAAAGCTGGAATAGATAAAGCTGGCAAAATGGCATAAATTGGTGTGCAGTATTCCTGCATTCCATATTACAGGTACTTTTCCACCACAACATTATTGTGCAGAAATTCATTCAAAGCATCAGAATTCTACAGTGAAAAATAAGCCTTTATGTACAGACATGAGTATGTTCAAAATGACATTATCTGATTGTGTGTAAATGGGCAGTAGAAACCATACCATCTTGGGTCTGATTCAATGTCTGCTAATTGGATTTTGGTGTATGGATTTGCTAAGCCTATATCCACCACACTCCTGAGCAAATGTCCCCCTGAATGCATGCATATGACAAAGCTGATTCTTCTTTTAATTGGTAGGATCAATAATTAAATCAGAATTAGGGTAACTTTGCAAAAGTAACCTAGGTTATACTGAAAAGCCTCATACTTACTTTAACAGCAGCCTTGGAACCATGCAAAGAAAACAGAAACAGAATCCTAAAGGTCTTCCAAGGACAGAAGTGCATCTTTTTGTTTTTTGTGACAGGAATGCCTGGATTATTTGGAAGCATTCTGTTTTACATCTGATTCCTAGCTGACAAATGTCCGTTTCTCAGGCTTATTCATTCATCACCTTGTGTTTCCTCTGCCTGCAAGGCATCCAGCCTGCCCTGCAACACTTTCTGCCAAATGATAAAGAATATGCTCAGCTGTGGCCCAGCCTCCCGTGCAGAGGATCCGATGAGATGCACATCGACGTGAGCAGCTGCTGTGCACACGTGTCCTCCGCTCACTACACACCCGAGAGCAAGGAGGGATGTTTTATGGCAGAATTTAAAAAGTTCTTTTCAGGGGGAAGTATTGCCTTGTGGGGGGTAAAATGTGAGATCACTTTGGAAATTAGATAAAATTTATATAGGGTTTAAAACCAAACAATTAAAACAGAATAATGGTACAGCATTTAATTATGGTTTAATTAAGTCTGCGCCTTCAAGTAGGTGCCTCTGGAGGTGTCCGTCCTCAGGGAGAAGCAAGGACTACTTACGACGTGCCTTCCTGTGGCAGGAACTTGAAAACTGTGCCCGGAGCAATGCCATATGCTAATGAGTGCCACAGCATTCTGATCCACACCCATTGTTCCCCAGCGGTGCTGCTGACTTGCAGCACCATGAAGGTTCAGAAGAGTGTAGGTGATCCTCAGATGGCCTCCTTCCCATGCATGCCTGCATTTTTCAAACCACAGCTTCTCCCCTTGAGTCTGTACCGCACCTGTCCTGTGGGCCTCCCCAGGTCTGAATGTTTTTCTTCCCTTCTCACTCATCTGATGCTTATCTCTCTGGCTCTTCCCCTGTCTCTTATCTGCTGTGTGTCATTTTCACAGGCAGAGTTTCTTCTTCGGTGGTGTTGGCCTCTTCTGTATGCTGCAGTACTGTGCACACCCATGATCTCATGGAGTCCCAGGGCCCCAGTCATGAGAATGCTGTTAGGATTTCTCTTTCAAACTCTAAACCATTGTTTCTCAGTGGACCTGGTACATTTGCCTTGGTGGCAGTCATTTGTTCTGTCATGTTGGGGAGAGGTTCCATTGACATCTAATGAGCAGAGACCAGGGAGTCTGCCAAGCACTCTGCTATGGATAGGGCAACCTCAGAACCAAGAGAACTATCCTGTCTTCAAAGCTCGTAGTATCCATCTTTAGAAACCCTGGTCTACACCTACTGACTTTTCTGGTTGAATACCTACAGACATACTGAACAGGTACCAAAGCAAAGTTGTGACCTTTCTTGTCCAACTGGGTAATATTTCATTTAAGTTGGAACCAGATTGAGGGACACCGTGATCCCTAAGAATGTAGCAATATCCTGGCCTCCTGGTACTCCCCAAATACCTAAGTCTTAATGAAGGTATGATCTATTTAGCTTTACAATGTGCTTATCCTTTATGCCTAGCTGGGCTTAGGAGCCCACCATCCTCCTGATTTATCCAGATGGGTCCCTCACTGCCTTCACACAGGGCAAGATGGCATCTGGTCTCTTCTTTTGCTTAGGGGTTTTGGAGGCATTACCATTCCTTACTGCAGAAGGGTTTCCATGGATCAACTTTTTCGGTTCTAGATCGTATGTGTCTTCATCTTCATCCTAAGTATATAGTGAAGCATATACATAAACATTTGGGGCATATATGCCTTATGTTCTCATTCATAGTTTCACTTTGTGATCTTCTAGCTACTAAGTGAGAGTAAAGCAGAATAGTATTTAGTTTGAGAACTGAGTCCAGTCCTGTCTTCACCTCAGATGAGAGTCCTTCAGTTCTTTTGCACAATGTCCCGCCAGGTGCTTTTATACCATTTATCCAGCTAAGTTATTCACTGCTGTTCTTTTTATTGCTAACTGGTGTTTTACAAAATTTTATCTTAGTACGGATAAAAAAAAAAGTAGTATTAGAAACCGCTGTATTTAAAAGAATACTTTTCTAGTTCCTGTTAGAAGGACAGGGTTGGTAGGGACACATGAGATGACAAGTTGCTCAAAATCAAGGGTCAGCAGGGGCCAGGGCAGCAGCAGGTATTTTTCTATGAGGCTTTGATAATTTGGTAAACATGGTTCTCATATGTAAAACAAGGACACAGTTTAGGTAACTTTGAAGTTGTGGTAGTGCTGTGCATTCTAAATACTCATGTCTACAAGCCTCTCCGTTTCTCAGTAATCAGATTAAAGGCAGCTTTGTGACAGAAACTGTCACTATTTTGAGAGCCTCTTGTCTTTTGTCAAACCCACAGAGATGGATGATTTCCTTACAACTCTAAAGTTTTCTTCTTCCATGAAATTCAACAAAATGACAAATGTCTAGCAGTGGGATTTTTCTCAGTACATTTTCTAGGTGGTGCTTTACTGCAAGGGAGTGATTAGAGATCTCCCTCGAGAGTCCTTGGGTTTCCACTCAGGTCAGGTCAATCCTTGGGTTTCCAGTCCTTAGGTTTCCACTCAGGTCCTTTCAGATTCTTCTATCTTTATCAGGAATATGGAATGAAATGATAGGGACATTTGTTTTGTATTAAAATCCACTGGATAAAATTCCAGTAGCTTCAGATTGGAAAAAACTGAACTGTGTGTGTATAAAAGAAAAATTTTGTGGGCTTTTTAAATGCTGATTTGAAATTCTCCAAATAAATTTTTAACTTTAGAAGTTATATGCAACTGATTTAGAATTTAAAACTAAACAATAAAGACAAATAATTACATGCCACTTAAAAATGGCTTGGGTAAACTGTGTCCTGAAGCCTGTGCCTCTGACACATTTTAAATGATGCCTTAGTCTTTAACATCTTGGTGACCCATCCATAATAGTTTCCAAAACTCTGCTATATATTTTTCTAACAAATATATATAAGCAATTATTAGATAGTTGGTATATCTGAGGGGAAATGGCTACTTAACATTCCAAGTGACCAGTGTCCTCATAATTAGATAGTGACTTATTTCTGGATTCTTTTCAGGAGTTAAGCTCCTCTGCCTGGGGTTTTAGGCATTTCAAGAAGTTGTATCCATTTTTTTTTTTTTTTTGAAGACTCCAGCTTTCTCTTTCCACCCTGCAACAGAAGTTTGCCTTTGATTTATTGATCAAAAGATTAGGAGTTCGTACAACTCTAGTAGTGTCTGTGTTGAGGCAAGAGAAAAACACTCGTGGTACTCATGTACATGAGGGACTCTGTGCATGAGAACCAGAGTGGGGTACTTTTGTTTAGACTGTGACCACCATGGTTGATTATCAGAAAACACAAAGGCAGTATAACCAATGAATTTCTCTGGTGGTTAAGTGAGGATCTCCAGAGACTGCTTTTGAAGTTTAAAGCAGGTACAGTTCGTTGCTCAGCAACACCCGCCAGGTAGAATGCAGCCACCCAGATCCTGAGCCGGTGCTGACGGCCTGTGGCTGAAAAAAAACAAAGACATAACATACTGATCTGGGAAAAAACTGTGCACTTTCTCTGTACATAGGTAAATGAGTTTTAGTTTTGACATATATTTTATCATCCATGCCTTTCAGATCTACGGAAGACCTTTGAGCAGGAACCCCTGGGCAAAGAAGTGTCCCTGGAACAGGAAGTTTTACTCCAGTGTCGACCACCTGAAGGGATCCCAGTGGCTGAGGTGACCAGAATTCTTTACATTTAGCACTTGGCACTGAGTCATTCTAACAAAGACCTAATCCGTAGCTAATGGTGCAGTGGGTGAGGCACGTTGTGATGAATGGCAGGTAATGGAATCCTAACTGCGAGCTGCTGGCAAATGGATTGATTGGGAGCTGATTGATGACTTGGGAGTCAATTAGAATGTCCCACTGGACAAAGCCACAGGCAGCTTGGTTTAGTTTGTCATTTTCTTTCAAGAAATCAGAAATATTGTTTTATTTTATTTGGCACTTATAGAGGACGAAGGTATGATTTAGTGTGCCAGCAGTTTTATTATTCTTGAAAACATGAAAAAAAATTGTTCCTGTAAGATTTGTGTGTATATACAGTATCTGTGTCCATGGGCCTTTTGTGTATTTCCTGGTTTATGATATAAGCACTGCCTTACCCTAAAAACTATATTCATGCAAGCATATTTTTGTAGTAATGAAAGTCAAGTATGTTTTCCATCAAACTCTTCATTTTTTTCCTGCTAAAACAAGGCCCGTTTTTTTGCCCATGAAGTATTATGAATCGGCGCTCAATGATATGGTGCCCTTTGCAAATGCCCATCTCTGCCCACGTGACTCCCAGGAGAGCCGGAGACACTCACCATCCTGAGCATCCTGCTGAGGGGAACTAACACTGTGACTTTCACTCGTTAATCAAGCATGATGTACCCTTTATGTGACTGCCAGGAGGCATCCTCCTATGCAGCCAGCATGATCGCCCTAGTAGGCGAGTCCTGCAGACGCAGGCACACTTTCATTTGATAGGTGGCATAGCTGCCAGTTGATGGTGGTCTTGTTAGCCTCCAAACTTTACGAGTCCTGTGGAGTTTGTAATCCGCATTGTATATGTGGAAAAAAGCATATGAAAAAAGTTGTTTTGGTTTGGATCTGTATTTGAGGACAATGGCTATGGGTCAGGTAGTGGTTTTGTTGTTGTTGTTTGGTCTTTTTGAGACATGGTTTGCTATGCAGACCAGGTTGGCCTTGTACTTGTACTCACTGTATAGCACAGGCTGGCCTCAAACTCCCGTCTCAGACTCCGAGTGCTGGAATTACAGGGATGCACCACCATGCCCCGCCCACCAGCTGATTTTTTAACCTGTCTGTGAATTTGAAAACTATTAATGAGAGAGTGGTGTTCAAAAAATGGTAAATAATTAATAATACAATTACTATTTGATTTCTCATAGTTTTTCAGTCTTAGGGACACTGAAATATTCATAGGTATACAGTCCCACAATAACAAAAATCAAACATCTGATGTTTCTTCCAAATTAATATTAGTAACAAATTAATTGCTCATTTTGGCAAGGTGCTTATAAAATGATTCCTTTTTCTGTTGCAGTGATGCATATCTTTCTATGTCCATTAAAAAACTAAAAGGATTAAAATGAAAGTGTTTTTTGCTTTGAAAAAAGAGCTATTTTTCTTTTGCTTTGTAATTGACATCGATTGGCACTTGCTAGCATTTATTAAGATGTATTTATCATAGTCACGACTCTGGTTATTTCATCCAAGACTGTGTCTTCACCTTCCAGCATCAAGACATGGGATGATTTAGTGTAACTGTCTCCGTTACTTTTCACTCTTGCTGGGACAAAATACTGGACACCCAAAATTAAGGAAGGAACAGTTTCTTTAGCTCATAGTTTGAGGAGGCTTCAGTCTATACTCAGATGGCTCCCAGGCAGAGTGGCACATGGCAGAGAGCAACAATTCATGGCAGCTGTGAGAGCAAGGGCAGGGCAGCAGCTGCAGCTTCTAGCCAGCCTCTCTCCCCTCCTTACATTATACACAAGCTATCCTGGGGCTGGGAGTGTAGAACTCACATGGTGTCCATGCTCTCTTCTTGCACAGGATGAGCATGTTTACAAAGTAAAAATCTTGGCTCTCTGCTGAGTCACTTAATTAAACTTCTAAACTTCTCAGGTTGACACAGTGTATCAACCAGTACAGTAACTAAAAATGTAGAAATTCTTCTCTTTTCAGTATTTCATTCTGATTATAACAGTATCTGTCTCCTTAACTGTAGTTCTCAAATTCAATGCTTGTCTCTCCTATTAGAGTATCCTGAAGAACAGAGCATAAAATGTATGGTATGAGCCTCCATAGCCTCATTTTTACTGAAGATTTCTTACATGGAACTGGTCCCTGCACAGATGTTGAGTGAGGAGATCCTGGTATTCCTCAGGATCATCACCAAAGTAGTTCACTTTGTCAAAGAGTAAAGATTTATGACCGAAAACTAATTGGCTATGAATTTTATTTGTATCACCAGGGAAGAGACCAATTAACACTTGGAAAGCTCAAAAATCATATACCTATTTGACATTCAAAGAACTATATTTAATCCATGTTACTTCTTCATGTCTTCTTTTGAAGTCAGAAGAGAGATCAAACACACACACACTGGAGATCAGGCTAATCAGCTCCTGCGTAGGTTCTGCTCAGCACTGCTAAAGTCACCAAGATCAGAAAGCTAATGAACACCTTTCATGACACATAACAACTTAGCTCAAGAGGAGCAGATAAAATAAAAAGAAAGAGGTGAGCGGTGACTTGAGGAGTTAAAGGTTATATGATCACTTTAGTTTAATATAAGTACATCGATTACTTCATTTTTATTTGCTTCTTTAGGGAATCTCAAATTATAAAATACTGATTTTAAAAAGAGAGGGCCAGACAGACAGCTCAGTAGATTAAAGCACCTGTTTAGGCAGACACAGAGACAGGGGCTCCATCCCCAGCATGCCCTGCCATCCCCGCCCCCGGGGCCTCACCGAGACAGTGTATGAGACTGGGCATGGTGGCTTGTGCCTATAATCCCAGGACTTGGGAGGCTGGAAACAGGAGAATCACTATGAATCTGGTCTGTGTAGTGAGACTCTGTAGGCCCTGTACTAAATACGAGAGAGAGA